ACAGGCAGCTCCATGGACGGCACGGCCAGCAGCAACGTGGACCAACCCGCACCAAAGTCCGCCGAGGTGTCCTGCTAAGCGACCCTCTACTCTCCAGACACCCAAACCCCTCACGGTCCCTTCATTTTGTGCTGCACTGCCTTTAACTGACACACACACATTTCAACACACATACAGACTAGTATGGAGAGGGACAAAAAGATAGCATTCCTGGATTTGTAAAAACGCACAATGGACACTCACCTGCAGGGTATTTAGTGCAGCTGAGTTGCCCAAATTTGAAAATACATCTCTTGAGTAGGAGGTTAAGGGTCAAATGTATGCCTGTAATGCCATTCTGAAGGACTTACATGAACATAGCTGAACAGTAAATGCTCCTGAGTGTGCAGTTAGGGGCAGCGCAGCATCTGGGGATACCAAAGCAGAGAATGTCAAAGAAAACTGTGGCTACAATACACCAGCGTGCACATATATCTCATCATTTTACATACATTTAAAAATTCTTTTCATTTCCACTTCTGCATTTCCTCATTTTACCATATTGACACAGCTTTGTCAGATTTACCTGACTGTAAATGTACTTTTTTCTGTTCTCGCTGTTAATTGTTTGATCATTTATTATATATTTTCCATTTCTGAAGTATTGTTGTTTTTAAGTAGGAGCAGATTTGTAGATGCAGAGAGAGAACAGGGAGGCACTTGAATAAATAAAAATTGATGGTGGTTTGCATCACAAATTGCAAATGTAATTTTGAAAATTAAGGGACAGACAGCATGTATATACAACAGATAGTTTTTTCATCTTGTCAATGTACATTATCCTTGAAGTTTTTTTTTTTATTTTCTTGAAGTTATACACCTGTCATGAATCGTTTCCAGAATTAAATGATCATTTTGAGTATGTTCTCATGAGATGTAAGCTTTGTAATTACTCTCTGAAACAGAAAATCAAAAGCTTTTACACTGTATGCTTTATTAATGGATCATGGCTTCTGACCAAATCTTTTTCATTAAGATGAGTTCAATCAGTCAATCACAATGGAACAAAGATGTGCCATGGAATTGGTCACTGTTTGGATGTGAAGCTCCTATGTGGTTGTGGACTTCTTGGATAAATGAAGTGATGGGCTCACAGGTAACATGAGCATAGCCATAGAACTTACCTGACACCTACTACTCCCTTTTCTTACTTGCACTACAGCAACATTTTTGCTTTGTAGAACACGTATACGGCTTTGTAAAGATGTGATGCACAGCCATTTAATGCTATAGAAAGGCAGTCAAATGACATAACAGTTTGTATTTATTTAAAAATGACAATAAAAACCTTGCAACTGATCTTCCCCGATTGTCTTTTTTTATTTGAGCACAGGGTCATTTGTAAAAAAAAAAAAAGTTTTAAAAGTAAGTAACATTTATTACGTAAGAGAATTTCCTGAAACACAAAGGAAAATGTCTATAGTACAATAAAGTCGTATTACCTAAGTTGACGAGTTAAAACAGACAATATTTCACTCAAAAGCATCTCGAGAACATCACTTATGTTATTATATATACCAAAAGCTACATAAATAAATTAAGCCTTCAATATTTCACACTCACTGGTTGAATATATTTGTAAAGCACTTTGTGAAAAGCACACCATGCTTTATGAATCCATTCTGGATACACATATTTTATATTTACAGATTTTTCCAATAGGAAAAAGTTCATATGAAAATTCTATTACATAATCATACACATTACAAATGCAAAACACTACATAAGAGAAAGAAATAAGTCAAGATGCTCCTTCAGGCTGAGGGCGTGACTGATACTTCTGTTACTTCTTTAGTTCATCACTTCTGGGTAACCATAGTAATTCTCCAACTCAGCAAAGATGTCATTGGGGTTTTTGCAGCTGAGGTTGCAGAAACATGCCTGGACCCACATCATCTTCCAGGTGAATCCTGACCCATTAGGACACTCAAACTCTACGTTGATGGTCTTGGACTTGTAGGGGATACAGCAACGCTCGTCTGTGCAGACACCGCAGTATTTGGGCCTGTACTGCTTCTTGCTGGTGCAGCCAGAGATGGTGAAGTTGGAGGGCTGATCTTCCCTGTAGATGTTTAAACATATCTTTCCTGGCTGAGGGAGGAATGGAAGATAAGGATATTGTTTGTTTGTTTGTTTGTTTTAATCTTGCAATCTTAGCTGTCTGAGGTGAACTTGTACCTTGATGTGTTTGGTGATGTCGACCTCACAGGGCCGCAGGTTGCAGAGGCGGGATTCTTTGACCAGCTCACATTGCTCATTGGCGTTAGAGATCCTCATGGACAGGCCGCGGCCGCAGGTCTTTGAGCATGGGCTCCATGAGGTAGTCTGGGTAATGCAGTTCTTGTGCCAGCTCCTGGTCTCAGCTGGGAAAACTGGATTAAAGTAGGAACAAACGAGAGGTAAATAGATCATGTCATACCTACACTGCTTTCACAGTTCATCCACTGTGCTCCTCCCAGTGAGAAGACCTGAACAAGAACTAATGAAATGTGCTCAGTGGGGCTTCGACTAATGGTTATTTTCATAGCTGGTTAATCTTCTGATTATTTCTTTGATTAATCATTTGGTCTATAAGGAGATGTAAATAATTACAATGTTCTACAGCGAGAGGCAACATCTTCAAAAGTCACGTTCTGTCAGACCAATAGTTGAAAAACCCAAGGACACTGAGTGTACAATGAGATATAACAGACTAAAGCAATAACAGTCAAATTGCAGAAGGTGGAACCAGAGGATCAGAGAGTTTGAAAAATGACAAGCAATTAATTGCAAAATAGCTGCAGGTTAATTTTTTGTTGATCTAACTAATAACTAATTGTTTTGGAGAGTGTAACAGGTAAAGATTTCGACATGATGCATTTTACTTTTTGTCAAGAAGCACTTGTTTTTACATTTGTAATATTTTATTAATGAGAAGCTCAGGAACACTGCATCCCCTGATACTGTATCTGTTTTGATCTAAAGCTTTAAGCTGTGATCTCCTCAAAGTCTGGATCTCATTTGTTTCTTTGTACAACACAAAGAGATCGTTCGTTCACATTCCTCCCTCCACGGCTCAAAGCACAGACTGGAAACTGGCTGTGACCCAAAAACAGTCTGAGGGCTTCCACAGGAAAGGATCGGTCTGCTGCTGCACACCACACACCCACACCTCCCAACTCGCCTGAACAACAAACTACACTGACACACCTATGGACTTTGTGAATGCAAAATTTGAAACTATATAAATTCAATTAGGGGGCGCAGAGGGATTTTAAATACTGCAACGTTCCCTACCATTTTACTATTGTACAATACCTTTAGCAGGACACATAATTACACAAGTCTCCCTGAATCTGAGAATTAGTTTACATAACTGTGCTTGTAAACAATGACCCTCTTTTGGAGTATTGAAAAGTCTCCGAAAGCCCTAGTTGACCTAGTTTTTGTGTTGTCTTACAACACTTTTCCCTTTAATAATCCCTTAAATTGAGCTTTTGAGCTTGCCCTTATGTTTTCAGCCTTAGCTGTGAACTTTGCTGCATTTCAGTGAGCAGGAAGGAAATTATGGGATTTGGCAGGGTTACTGGAATTAAGAAAAAAAATCTGTTTATTAAGAAAGCCCAACTTCATCAAGTAAAAGAAAATATTGCTACGCCAGTATACACATCCTACCCTCTACTGCGTGGCGTGGGGCCGTCTTGCGCCCTCTCTTAGGTTCATCACAGATCCACTGCTCACAGCATTGTCCCCGGACTTTGACCCGGCGTGGGGTCTGGCACCACACTCGGGGAGGCTGGGACTCTGTGCACAGCGCCACACAGCCAATGGCACCGTTTACACACACACACTGGTATTTACAGCTTGGCTTGAAGCTCTGCCCATTACGGTAGATCACACCATCATGCTCGCAGCCTGTTCCCACCATATCTGGTATCACAGAGAGGAATGACAAGCATTCACACACTGCATTATAGAGACACTGTCACTATAATAGAGAAGACAAAAAAGACTCAACTGCATTTACAAAGGCAAAAAACAATACAATAAAATATACATAAAATGAAGTGACTAGGCTGTAATGTATAACCCATTCTCTCTTTCATAATAGTGAAAAATATGCACTGTCTAGATTAGATTTGGTCTTAATTTTAAGATAACTCTTGGGTTAAATCTACAACGTGTGTGGCAAGTGACAATTAGTAAGAACATAATTAACATAAAAGTTATTCTGCATGTCCAGGTGTTGAATATAATCTCTAATGTGTGAACTTCCCCAGAAGACAGAATTGATAAATTTACAATCATACATTCACTTCCATGAGTCAACTGTAAAATGATATATATCATGTTTGTTGAGCTGGAGTAATTTAATTTCAGCACAGTATAACATCGGCAAAAAAGGCACTGAACTTAAACCTATGCCTTTCAGATGCAGTCAAAGTTCCTCATAACTACTACAAACTACTAAAATAAACACAACTCAGACAAATTGACAATAAGTGTTAATGCAGGACTTTTCTGTCAGCATACAGGATTATGCTGAGTATGTGACCGGGTACATTAGTACCTGTATTGACAGCACTGTGCCCACCATACAAGTCAGGAGGTTCCTCATCCAGAAGCCCTGGATAAACAGTCAGGTACGCCACATGCTGCATGCTTGTTCTCATGCATTCAGATCAGGTGATGAGATGAAGTACAAAGCTACGAAGTACAGACTAAGGAAAGCCATCACAGCGGCCAAGAGGCAGTACAGAGAGAAGCTGAATGGCTTCTATTCTACTGCTGACTCTGGACGGATGTGGCAAGGCCTGCAGCACATCACAGACTACAGGACCACCAACAGCATTATCAGCTCCACAGACAGCCTGTCGGATGACCTCAACACCTTCTACACCCGCTTTGAGACCTCCAGGCACAGCGCAGAGAGGAGACACACACACACCTGGACCACCCAAACCCACACCTCCCCTCCACCAACTGTCTCACCAGG